ATCCCTCATGGTGGGATCAAGGCTTGTTGTTGTTGTTGTTGCATTCTCAATTTAGAACTCGTCAAACTTTGATGCATCTATGTTAATCTTTGCTAGGTGGCAAATGTGCATTTTTCCTTTTGCCTTGTATTTCCTGTATAATTTGTTCCCTGCTTACTGGGAGCTGCTGAAAATCCACATCTTTACTATTAAATAAAGTTCAAAGTCTCTCAACCAAGAATGCTTCACATACTCGCTACTTCGAACTTGAACAGCATAGCTTTTGGGGATTTCATTTGGGCTTAGTAGAATCAGTCCAACACCACAAGTATTTGCCTCTAACATACTATTTGTGTGCATCTTCTTGTACTCCTTGTATGTTTTTTTGTTTTATTTTATTGATTTTGTGAAATCAACAACCAAGTTAATGAGAACTTGGATTTTCACAGCAATCTTAGGGATGCATATCTTGTACTCTTCGAGTTTGATGAACCACTTGGTTAACCTCATTGAAAGTTCATGCTTGAGTAGGATTTCGTTAATTGGTTGATCAGCGATGACCTTGCTGGGTTGAGCTTTGGAAGTATTGCTTATGTCTTTTAGATGTTGGCGTTAGTGCTAGAGTCAGCTTCTCCATTTGTGGATTTTTATCTTAAAACATGTTAAACATATCAAAATCTTGCTTTTATATTAGATTGACAGTTATATCGACACTTATTCTCTAATTATTATCTGACTAACTTTTATTCAAGGTAAAGCAATATATATCCACCTGGGTGTGGGCTATTAAGCATTGGTAGGGCCCCCATGATGGGGGCAATCATTCAATTTAGTATCGGATTCACTGCATTGCTTAGTCCAAGAAAAATTTGAGGATTTTTCAATGATTTAAATGGATGTGCAGCCTTCTAAGTCAATTTTGGATGAGTTGACTTAGAGAAGCAATTTTTTGTCAATTTTTGTATTTTGTTCAAGCACAAAAGATCCATTTTTGATGACTGCTTGTATACTTTATTGACATAAATGTTGATACATCTTGGAGAAATTAAGAATCCTAGGAATTTGCCAATTGCTGCTTTGAAAATGTTTTCTAGCAGCCTTTAGTAAGTGGCTCTAACATTCTTCAACCTTAATGGCTTACCATATAGTTGTAAGTACAATTTCTTATAATGAAATCCATTTTATCCTTGTCAGAAATGTGTATTTTAATTTGATGATATTTTGAAAAGGCACATAATAGAGCAAGGACAAAGAGCCTAATAGTGAAGTTGGTGAGGAAATCATTGGTTGATTGTGGATTTGAGTATTATGGGTAGGCATTGTTAAGTATAATCGGTGAACATGCATTACTTCCTGTTTCTCTTCATCATGTTGAAATTGAAGATCCACTTAGGATATTAGAATTCCTGAATGAATTTTACTTAGAGGAGTTTGCCGATGTTGACTAGAATCTTTGAGCTATTCTTTTATGTCATTTTCCTTCTTTTTTGCTTGGTAGGCTTGGGTTATGGGTTGAGGTGGAAAAGTGTCTTGCAATATCTAGTTTTACTTCTTGGAGGGCTCCCAAGGAAAATGTGCTTGTTATGGTGGAGTAATTTGATCAAATCGAAAAATAATTACTTTTGTTTGCCAAAATAATTTTGAGTGTGTGAACCAAATAATCTTCATCCGCCAATTTTCGACCATGTTATAAGCCAAAGGGTGGGGCACTGTTCGAGATCTTCCTCTTGTGGGTCCAATTTGATGTGGGTTTGTTGGTGTGCCTATTTTTTTCTTTTTCTTGGGGCTCTATTTGTATCTTTAATGCACCTAGATAGCTACTTATGATTACCATTATGACTCCTCCTGTGGGGATTTTGATCATGAGTTGATAAATTGAACGTACAACTTTGAAGGCATTGAGTACTAAATGTGGTGTTGTAGGCTGATGAAGTCCTAACCACTATGAAGCATGAATAATATAGATTTGGTTGTGAAATCTTGATAGCCCCTTTATAACTTCCTTCTAGGGTGCGTAAGTGCGTTGTTCCCTTGAAAAATTCACGAGTCCTCTAGAAATTTGATAGGAAATACTTGAGTTCGCAAGTAACCTAACCAAAATCGGCGAACAAACAGCAGCCAACTGGCTGTCCACAGCAGGAAAACAGCAGAAATCTATTTATGTTGTTGTTTACAGTAGAAAAACAGCACTTGTCCAGAAAAATCTGAGAGAAAACTCAAAAGAAAGCTTGTATTTCACTAGTAGATGAATAAAAACAGCAAGATACAATTGATCCTCAATTCGAGAGGAGGATCGATCTCTCCCAAATCTCTAGACGCCGCTAGAGCCCAAAGAAAACCTAAATCTAAGAGATCTCAAATTTCAGCGAAATTCAAGATACTCAAACCCTAGCAAAATCAACTATTTAATGCATACAAATCAGAAGGAATTCCCTTAACAATCCCTACATTCAAATTTCTCTCTGAAACCCCCCAAAAATCCTTCCTAAAACGCTCTGTTTGAGCTGTCGGCCCGCCCGATCTCCGCAGGAGGCGGAGATCCTGCCTGTTCGCCCCCGTGAACCGGTCCCGCCTGGACCGGCTGGACCGGTCTAACAAAATTCTAAGTTTTCTTGCATCAATTTTTAATTTTTCAAAGTTATTTAAAACCAAACATCCATGAAATTGTCAAAATCTATTAGGATCCAATAAGCCTCAAAATTGGGATGTTGGTTCTCAAGTTGATTGCTTAACTCATTTCTTATTAATGGAAGGTCATATCGGTACAATTAATTGGAGAAATGTTTTATCCTCAGAGTAATCTAGCCATCTCAAGCCTGCTTGTTTTGATCCCTCTTAATAATTTCATTTTCGTGAACATTCTAACTTTGGTGGTCATTTTCATCGTTTAGCTCCTTCTGTTTTTTCCTTTGGCTTCTCTTTAACTACTGCCAGAGACCCTTCATTATTAGCATCTCGAAGATCTTTATGTTGCATATCTTCTGTGGCATATTAATGATTGTTTTGGTATAAGTAGAATTCATTGGAATTTTAATGCTCCGATTGGCCCCTCAGCTTTTTTGGCCATCAATAGTACATTTATTTTGGATGGCCTCTATTATTGTGTATAATGTTTATTTGAGAGTTAATAAAGTTAGCAATTGTGAAGCAAATTTTTTTGTGGCGCGAGAGGTAGGTGATAGGTAGTTTGGTGAGATTGTTTGACATGATCTCATTGTCGGACTTTTTTTTTTTTTGACGGTGCTAGCTCGGCGGGATAGGAGAGTTGCTTAGACATCTTCTTTAACTTTTCAAAGTTTAGGTATTTTCCTGCTTTGGTGGGTTGGTTAGTCATTGTATTTAATTGGTTCTTAATGATCTTGAATCTTCCTTAATGTAGACCTTGAATCAAGGTGACCTTAGAATTCAGATGCAAACCTCCATGTTCTCTTTTTGTTAAATCAGGTGACAAAGTCCTTCAAGAGTTCACCTTGGGTTTATGGGCGGATGAAAGTTTCGCTACTTGTTTGGTTTTGTTTTTGTGAATAAGAATAGTTTTTAGCCATTGGCTCTTAAAATTAGAAAAAATAGTAATGGAGCATGGCGGTAGTTTCTAAACTTATTTAGTATGACCCACTTAAGTGTGGCAAAGAACAGTTAATATCTGATCGCTTTTGAGATGTTGCTAGCCCCAATAACGCCTCAATTTCAGTGATAGAATAGAAGTTTATGAAATTTTGAACTTTTGAGAGCGGCTCAACGTGGATGGTTCCGGTCAATGTGGATGATGGTGTTTGTTCCTAGAAGTCCTCTTCCATTCGTGGCGTTCCTAGGCCTGTTCTTTACCTCTCTTGGGATTGCTCCATTGTAACGGATGGTGAACTTATTGGTGTTGTCGCTTTCCTAAAAATGTTATTGCCAGTCTTATACAAAAGTGAGCCTATATATATAAGTTCGACAAAGCATTTATATAAGTTTGCACAAAAGTGAGCCTATAGAAGACACATAATTTAAAAAGAAATATTTTACTTTTGATTTATACATATATTTCAAAATATTATCCCATTGTTAGATGACATTATTGTGTACCACACGCCATTAACTTACTCTTTAATTAAGGATATGATTTTTTGAATTGAATTTTTTTTCTATATAATGCTGAAAGAAACCAAGAAGCCTTGATCCGAGGGATTAGTTCTGTATTTAGCTTGGCCTCAACTTGTCCAACTTGGCATCCGACCTGGCCACCATCACATGGCTTGGTCTAGTTATGGAAGATCTGACGCATAATGGCTCTAACATGACTGTGAATCCGGAAACTACAAATCAATGCCAAATAAAGCATAACCTAAATAACCCAAAAAAATTGAAGTAATGAAATATGTAATATTCATATGAAAGTGCAATAAAAAAATCATATATTCTAAATTTTTGCTTCATTAATAGGATTATTGGCAACAACCACATTATAGCTTTGTACTTGTGGAATTCTAGTTGGTCTAGAAAGCAAGCCTTTCCATAGTGCAAGTACCAATAAATAAAAGTCATTAGGCATGTGTGGAGGGAAAAGGAGGTTGATTTGGTGGCAGGGAGGCCAGCAACGTGGGAGATCAGGAGGCAGACGATGTACTAGGGAGGAAGCTGACAGCACTTGGGGAGGGGGAGGTTAATGGTGTGTAGTAGTTGAGCGAACGGGTCTGTGTTAGGGCAAATTATTACGTGCGGTATCCGGACCGTTCGGAGGCGAAGCTGGATGCATGACGTCACCCGGAAGCACTGGGCCCTACGTGATGTGGCGCTTCTGGATTCGCCTCCGGATGAATCCGGACGCCGCACATAATAATTTGCCCTCTGCTAGACGCAATTAATTACTTATGCTAGGAGTTTAAGAAAGTTGCCCGGGAATATGAGCTTTCTCTGATTACTATTCATCGCTTCATTGAGGAGTTCAAGCAAGTATGAGCTTTCTCTATATATGTATGTATGTATAATATGTGAGAAATGTATAATATGTGAGAAACTAATATTCTTTTGCTTGACAGATTTCCCTTTGGGATGCAATCATCCCCTCAAAAGAGCATGCAAAGTTCTGGATTCACACTTCAAACAAATATCGTTTTATTGATCAGGTAATGTTATGAGTTCTCCTTTTAGTTTTAATGATCCTTGAATTTTATTTTCCATTCAAATGTTAAAATCATTTTAGACTCCACTAATTAGTACTTAGCCAACCCCAATAACAAATACAGTATGAAATTAAATTAGTAAGTTTATATATAGCAACCAAGCTCAGGTCTTAAAAAAGAAAATAAAGAGTTTATAGAAATAATAATTGTACAAGGATGTTCTGATACAATTTATAGTAACATGTACTTGAAAAATATTAGATTTATTTCAAGATTAGTGCAATATAAAATTTTTATATACAACACTAATGTAAAAATACATTTAATGATTTTTAAGCTCATTCTATTACAAATTATATCATAATATTCTGACTAGGGGTGTCAATTTCGGGTCACGGGTCGGGTTCGGGTTTAATCCGAAACTTACCCAGCACTATCGGGTCAACTTGAACTCGTCCCTTTTTTGATACCGGGTCGGTTTTCCTAACCCGACCCGACCCAAATGACTTGGTGCCAACAAAAAAATGGTAGTTCTTGGGTCCAAAAATGGGTAAATCTCTGCTTTTCGGGTAAAAAACGGGTCAATCTCGGGTTGTTGAGTAAAAAACGGGGTTTCGGGTAAAAAATGGGTCAATTTCGGGTCGAAGGGTAAACTCGAACCCGACCCGATTTTTGAAACAGGTCGAATAGTTGAGCCCGAAACCGACCTGTTTCGGGTTCGGGTTGACCCTAACCCGAAATTTTCGGGTCTGGTTCGAGTCGGGTTTTCTGGTCGTGTCAAATATTGATACCCCTAATTCTGACGCACTTATTTTTTATGAGTTTAGGGTATTTTATGTTTGCTTATACATGCAGGGAAGCAATCTACGGGGCAAAGAATACAATTTGACGCTGCATTGGCATGTGATGCCTAAGACAGGCAAGATGTTTGCTGATAAAATAGTCAAGACTGGTTATCGACTTCCTGAAGAATACAGATAGATCAAAGCTGTGGCTATTGAGTTATTTGGGCCTCTTCTTCGTAAGGAAATCATTTCAAGTAGAGTTTCCCCCGCTTCTAGACTTTAAATTTTCATTTTTATATTTTGGTGTTGTGGACAAATAGAGCTAATTAGTCATTTGACTTGTCTATTTTGAGAACTAACTTAAAATTTTCTTTTACATCAGATGAGTTTTGTTTGGAAAATTCAACTTTTTCTCTCATAATGCTTTAATTTGGACCAGCATAGTATTATATTTTTATTTGATTAAGGCTTCGTTTGGGACGACTTTCTTACTGCTTCTTAAAGCAGTTTTTTAGTAAAAAAAATTAAATTTTTTTACTAGAAAACTGCTTTAAGAAGTAATAAGAAAGCAGCCCCAAACGAAGCCTAAGACTTTATTAGGCATGGCTTTATTACTATTTTGTAAAGCAATTTTCTAGTATAAAAATTTTAATTAAGTTGATTTAAGAAGCAGTAAGAAAGTCGTCCCAAATGAAATCTAAAACTCTCTAAAATTAATGTTTAAGCCAAAATATCATTTTATGCATATGAAGTAGTTATTTTTTGATTTATATTGCTCTTGAACTGTCTCTCTTGTAATACAAAGCTTCAATCTAAAAACTCTTACAGTTCCTCCACTCACTTCATGATTTCTTCTCTTCATGGCATTTATATGGTAACAATTTTGTAATATATATAGCTATAAATATGAGCTTCGATGGCTCTTTAGAGAAATTTTATTCTTTCAACATCATTTAACTACATATTATGAAAAGGACACTTAATAATATCCTTTTTTTGTTCCAAATCCTCTTAGATGTTAAACTTTCTATTAGATATAAATTTTCTAAGTACAAACTTAACCATATTTTTTATGTATAAAACATTCATCATATGCTATAATAGCATACATAAGGAATATGATATGCAATGCAAGTTATTTATCATTAATTAGAGAGGTTTATTCTACATGTATGCACACTAGCTATGTACTTGTACTTAGGGTTTTTGATTACTAGGTAGTTCTATCTTGTACCTCACATAAGAGATATAAAGAGAATAACTTTTATTTAAAAATGGCTTGAGAGAGCTTTGATTTTAAGGTTTTTTTAACTAAATTGATGTTTAAATTGCTTATCAATTTATGAAAAAATTTGTAGAAAAAAATTTATCCTAATATCGTCCTGCAAAAGTCGCCTATAACGTAGAAAACATACAATAGTAAATAAATTAAAAAATATCTCATCAAAGTATTATAAAGAAACAATCAGAGTAAATAAAAGTATGTCGTGATGGTTGTAAAAGAATAAGGAACATGCCAACATAGTTGGATAATCTACACATACATGCCAAAAAAGTATAAATAATTTTTATTCAATGAACTAAAAAGTAAAAGGTAAGGTTCCATTTATTGTCCTTTTTTAAGCTTATATAACTTTGGAATAAGGAGCTAATAAAATACTATTACATATTTATGATATTGTCCTTGGATATTATCTTAGTTTTTCATCAATTTATTTCATGACATGTTGATTTGTACATGAGCATTTTTTTAATTCAAAATGCATAACTTCATAGTAGTAAATACCCATTAGAGTCATCAATATAATAAAACAATCATCTTTCCAAATGATCTATCCATGAAAGAATTGTGTTTGTCGAAGCTATGTCAAACATCAACTTAGGAATAAGAAAATGAAATTTGTCATTTGGGCATGCTTTTTTCAAGTCCTTAAAATTGATATAGGCTTGAATTTGTCTATTCTTCTTTCAAACATGGATAATACTATTAAGCCTAATGGGATATCACTCTTCTAGAATGAAACTAACAATAATTAACTTCTAGATCTCTTTAATGACCAATTCTTAATGTCGGAATGAACCATCGGGGTGCTTGCTTGATAAGTAAATTGTCAGGATTAGTTGAAGGTTTATGAGAAAATCATCTTAAAAGCTAAACCAAACATTTCAAAACAACCTCAAACAAAATAATCAAATAGACCTTTAAGACTTAAGCTATCTATTGAGACAAAGTTTTAAGGAGCAATTTATTAATAAAAATTAGGTGAGGAGCTTCGATCCTTTGTACCTAGATTTATTTCTAGTAGCTCATCAATAATAAATGGAGTACCAACTTTTAAATTTTGAGGCATGTTAGTAATTCTAGGAGGCATATCTTGTAGATCCTTAATGGCTTTTGAAGTATTAGCTTGAAGTAATGAACTAGAATCCATCTTGTAACTAGTATAAGATTTCCTTGTTTCTCTAAATATTGTTCTCTTTCAAAAATTGAGACATTGATGGTTCTTGAAAGATTTTATTTACCATATTTTTTAACATAACATAGAATGACATTTAAACTATTGTTAAGATAAAATTTTTCTTATGGAATCAATTTATATTAATGGGAGAAGAAAAATAGGAAATTGGAATATATTCCATTTCATGTAAAAAATTTGGTTAACATAAAAGAGGGGCTTTGATGCTTCTCACCAGTTCACTGTATAAAAAAAAAGAATATTTTAAAAATATTTTATAGGATGTATTTATGTCACACCTCATAATTGAATTTGAAAGAATTGAGTATTTTCATCTTTTAAATTATTTACGAGAACTTCTATAAATCATCAATATAAATCAATCTAGCTGAAACAACTAAAATCATGTATATCAAAATATTTCATTATATTAATTCACCAAAATTTATCTTTACAATAGCTAAGAGAGCAGCACAATCACTACTCCATCACAAATCATGATTACAAAAGATCAATATATGAAAAATACAAACAAAATTAAAAGAATCATGAGGATCCATATCAATCTCACTCAGCTTGTTTGAATATAATTTATTCGTATTTAAAGACAATAGCTTAAAGATACAAATAATCACAATGTTAACTAAGAATCCATGATGTACTAAGATATGGTTTAAAGTAATACCATATATTAACAAAACAATTTATAAGGATTTATTGTGATATGATATTTTTTAGAAAAAAGATCATCACATGTAAAAGTGATAGTAAGGAGGTCCTCAACCAAAATACACTCTTTCAACTTCTCTTATGATAGTAAGGATCTAATGTTTACTAAGAATCCATGATGTACTAAGATATGGTTTAAAGTAATACCATATATTAACAAAACAATTTATAAGGATCTATTGTGATGTGATATTTTTTAGAAAAAAGATCATCATATGTAAAAGTGATAGTAAGGAGGTCCTCAACCAAAATACACTCTTTCAACTTCTCTTATGAGGTATGCTTGAAAAACTTTAGGTTAAATTAACACTTTCACAAGAGTTTGAGAACATCAAAGTGTAAACACATAATAAAATAGTAATCTTTTTTAAGTGGACCAAAACAATGTAGTTGGCTTTGGATGAAAGGCAGACTTATGTTTTTCTTTCTCTTGAAACATGTTTAGGTGGTTCATCAAGGTACCGAGTACTAATATTTTTACTCGTCCTTTGGTTTAGGAGGTCAGGGATGGGGCTCTTTGACACTTTTTAATTAAACTAACTAAATTTGATCTAATGGGTTGTTATTTTGGGTTGTTTGATAATCTTTAATAGTAGTATCAAGTTTTTCCTTTTCTTGAACTTCTTTTGAATTATATTAAAACGCTACAATATTGTGATTATAATTGAGAATAAAATTTGCTCATCATAAAAACCCCTATAATCTTGAGATCAAGATGATAAAAAAAACTTCTTCATCACTCATATCAGGTTCAGATGCCTGATGATATAAATAGAAGCACATGAGAAGTATTTATATGTTGGATAGTTATTATAAATTAAAATGTACAAACTTCACATTAATATCAACATCAACATCAAGCCTTTATCCCATTATATGGGTTCGGCTACATGAATATTTTTTCTCCATTGTGTCATATTAAAAGTTAAATTCTCATTTAAAGCTAATAATTAAAGATTATATCTAATATTATCTAACCAAGTCTTTTTAGGTCTACCTTTACCTTTATTAATATAAGTCAAATATAATACATTTACTTTCCTAACCGAGTCATAGAAAGGCCACTGTTTTATATGACTAAACCATCTAAGGCAACTCTCTCTAATCATATCTTCCATTAGAGCTACTCCAACCTTTTCACGTATATGCTAATTTCATATCCTGTCTCTAAGAATAAAGCCACTCATCCACATGAGTATTCTCATCTCTGCAACATTTAACTTAATATTATGCTTCTCTTTTAATGACCAACATTCTGCATCATAAAGCATTGCAGGTTTAACAACAATCTTATAGAATTTTCCCTTATGTTTGAGGGGGACTTTCTATCACACAAGAAGCCCGATTCATTCCTCCACTTCAACCATCCAAATAATCTGAGCTTTATAATCATCAAAATAATATGATATAACTATTAATATGATAAACGGAACATCATGCATTATTATTGGATACACAAGTAAGTACTTTAAAATAGGGAGGAGATATGATATAAAATTGACTACTAGTAGAGCATCTAAAGTATCTATGTTATAATGTATCAGACTTTGTAACAGTGCAGCGATCAGATATATTGTCATGATACATGCTATAAAAAATAATATAGTATCTAAACAAATAGTTATTCAAAATGAGATAAATAGACCGCCAATTATTAAACATTGATTATCAGGTGTAGCTTAGATAAATTTGACAATTGAATAGATTTTTGGAATGTTCTTAAGAACTATACATGGCTCTCGATTATGTAAGCCTTATATTAATTTTAAAGCTAATCCTTGAACATAATACAATCATCAATAGTATATCTTAGAAATCTATGACAAGGATAGTAAGATGGATCATTAGTTTTATTGATCTCATCTGCTTCTTTGTTTGTGGGAGCTTTACACCTGATTGCTAAGCATATTAAAATTTTTATGATAATACTTTTCTTAAGAGAATAATCTTTATTAGGCCTTTCATAGAAATTTATTTATTTAATATTTCTTAGGAGGAAGAGTAAGTTTAGCTGGCTAGTTAAAACTATTTTCTTTTTCTTTCTAAGCTTCTTGGCACTCGGAGAGACTAGTTGTTTCCCTACCTTATGTGTACATAAAACGATAAGAGAGCTTCATCTTATTTTAATCATATAATTTTCTTTCAATATAAAAAATAATGCTTCACCATAATGACTAGTTGTTTTTATAAAAAATACGGATAAAATATAATTTCAATAACACAAAGA